AGCACTGAGGCTCAGGGGATTGAGCAAGGGACCTGAGGAAGCCTCTTGAGGGTCGTTTTGGGGCCTGTTTCGGGCCTCTTGGGGGGGGCCTCCTGGGGGCTTCTTGGGGGCCTGTGGGCCCCCCCGCCCCCGAGCACTAAATGCGTCGGGAATGGCGGTTCCCCCCCCCTGCAGAGCGAAGCTTTCGCGAGCTCAAGTCCACGCTCTCCGAAACTCACACGCCAGATCGGCGGATTTTTGAATTTTCGAGTTTGTAGGAGAAGTTGGGCCCAAGAAGCGCCCTTCAGGGCCCCAGCAGCAAATTCTGGACGCCAGGAGTAATGGAAATGGGGCCGACTTGCGCCCCGAGTGCGTATTGGGAGCGGTCTGAAGTTCGAGCTCGTCTTGGATGCAGTCTGGAAGCCGTCTTGGGCTGGAAAGAGGTCGATGCAGCAGCCGGGCGGCGAAATGACGGAGGCCTCTGGGAGGGGTTAAGGGGTAGGGCTAAAGCCTTGTAAGGAGCTCTCACAGGCAAGTCTCACACGCCCCTCAGCTTGGTGGGCGGGCGGATTCCTCTTGCTTCGCGGGGTGCACGTGCGGAGCACGTACAGTCCAGTAGTTGCGGGGCCTCTTGGGAGCTCCTTTGTGGCCTCTTGGAGGTGTCTCAGGGGCTTCTTGGGGCCCCCTCTGCACTGCGCTTCTTTGGGGCCTCTTGGGGGCGTCTTGGGCCGTCTTAAGGCGCTCTGGCGGCGTGTGGCCCATTCAGAAGCCGGTCTGGGGGCCTCTCGCGGCCGTTTTAGGCTTTCTTGGGGTCATTTTGAGTTGGGCCGTCTTAAGGCCCGCTTGGCCGTCATGGAGGCCTTTTGAGGGCTTCTTGGGTCGTCTTGGGGCCATTTGGGAGGCTGCTTGGGCCGTCATGGGCCTCTGAGAGTCAAATAAGGCGAGAACGTTACCGTGCCTGGGTAGTGGGTCAGAGTGGCGGCCCGTCCCGCCACCGTGCCTGGGTAGTGGGTCAGAGTCCTCAGGGATGCTCCTTAGGGTCTCTTCGGAGGGCTCTCGGGGGCCTATGGGTGGCAGTTTGAGGCCTCTTGGAAGCCTCTTGGAGGCCTCTTGGGGGCTGCTTGGAGGCCTCCTGGGACTTCTTGGGGCGCCTCTTGGGAGTCTCTTTGGGCTTCTGGGGGCGTCTGCCGCTGTGGAAAAGTATTCAAATGTGGAAGGTGTGGGCGTTGGTTGGCGTGACCTGCTCGGCTGCCGCGCGTGCGTGCCGGTCCGTCCTGCCATCCCCAGGGCTTGGGCGGCCTCATGGGGGGCTCTTGGGAGCCTCTTGAAAGAAGCCTCGTGGAGGCTTCTTGGACCGTCTTTGGGGCCGCTTTGGAGCCTCTTGGCGCTCCTTGTTGACGTCTTGCGCCGGCTTGGGGCGCTCTTGCGCCGTCTGGCCCCTTCGGAGGCCATCTTGGAGGCCTCTCGCGGCCTCCTTCGGGCGCTCTTGGGGTCCTCTTGGGCCGTCTTGGGGGCCCAAGGAGGACCGTCTTGGGGGCCTCTTTTGGCCGTCTCGGGGCCCTCTTGAGCAATCCTAGGGCCCCTTTGGGGGCCTCTTTGGCCGTCTTGGGGTCTTTTTGGAGGCTGCTTGGGCCGTGCGCCGAAAAATGCGAGAACGCTAGAATCTTCAAAAACCCACAGAAAATCAATGATTTGGGCTCCTGGAGGCGCTCTTTCGAGTCCTCTTGTGGCCCCCTTGAGCCGTCTTGGGGGCCTCACGGGCCCTCTTGGGACCGTCCAGGGCCGTCTTGGGCCGTCTTGGGGCCATCTCGGGCCATCTTGAGGCCCTCTTGGAGCCCCCAGAGGCCCCAGAGGCCCAAATCATAGATTTCCTATGGTTTGTCATTGCTTTCGAGAGCCCGAGAAGGGGGGCATCCATCTTGGATCGGCGGACTGGCGCGACTCCAACCGGGGGTTAGGGGGAGACATAATAATGCACAACATTACAACATGTGGCAATTATACAACGATTGGATACATTGGATACGTTGCCTCATCGCCTCTGCAGAAAACGCTGCCGCTCAGCACGTCACTTCCGGACGTGGGTTCAATAGGCTTACGCCACTCCGCCGACCCCACAACAGTGAATTCGGCAAGAGTCGTGCCACCGTGCCTGGCTTGTGGGTCGGGGGCCACGGGGATGCATATGAGTGTCTCCTGGAATGCCTCTCAGGGGCCTCTTGGAGGGCCCCTGGGGGCATATGATTCGCTTTGGGGGCCCTTTCGGGGCTTCTTGGGGGCCTCTTGGGCACATCTTGGAAGCCTCTCGGGGCCTCTTGGGGGCGCCTCGGGGATCACTGGGGGGCTCTTGGAGCCATCACGGCGGGAAAGACTCGAAAAGTCAGAGCGTATTGCCCCGCTCGGACACGAGTTGAACTGGTCCACAGCTGAAGTGGGCCCCAGACTGAACTGGGCCCCATCTGGTTGAACTGGGCCCTGGTCGAGCTCGGCCCCAGAGTGTCCCGCCACGACGCCAGGCGCGGGGCCGAGTTCAGCTGGGGACCAGTTCAGCTGGAGGTCCAGTTCAACTGGGGCCCAGTTCAGCTGGGCCCAGTTCAGCGGGGCACAGTTCATCCGGGGCCCAGTTCAGCGGGGGGAGCGCGGCGCTTCTGGCGTGCTCTTCCCTGGTTCGCCCTGTCAGATGGGCATGTGCCAAGCCTTCCCCGATTTCAGCCGTCCTGCCTCGCCAGTGCGGGGGGGGTGGCCAGCGTGGACAAAAGGCTTGCGCGAGCGCATCAGCCCAACTTGTACCTTGAGCCAAAATGGGTACGGTGCATCACATGGAGCGCGCACACTTTGCCCCAAGTGGGGACCAGTTTCACGCGCTGAATTCGTCCCCGCCGGGGCTGGCCTGGGAGTCGAACCCCCTCTTGGCTGAATGGTGTAGGCTCTAGGGCCCTTGGACCATATGGCCCTAAGTCCCTTCCCTGAGGACATAAGACCCTCAAGCATTAAGGCCATGAGGCCCAGCGACCCGAACAAACTGAGGCCCCAATAACCGGCGAAGCCCCTAAGACCCTACAACCGTGAAGCCCCAAGGCCGTCAAGTCCCGAGCACCCTAGGACCCGAGGACCTTATTACCCTGAGACTCTAAGGCCTTAATACCCTAACACGCTAAGAACCGAGCGCTATGAGACCCAAAGGTTCCAATGACCTTAGACCTCAGGGTTGTAAGGCCCGAACATATTAAGACCTGGCACCCTAATACGCTAAGACTCTGAGACCCTAGCCTCAGACCCTGAGGGCCTAACGCCCGAAGACCTGACGACCCTAAGGCTCTAAGACCTTACGGCCGTAAGACCCTCAGACCCGAAGGGTCTATGGTCCTAATACGCGAGCACCCGAAGGCCCTAATGGCCTAATGCCCTTAGACCCGACGACCCTGGGACCCGAATGCCCTAAGACATTAAGACGCATTTCCCTTAGACCCTGAGGCCCTGATACACTAAGACCCTAAGACGCTGAGGTTCCCTGATCCCCAAACCCAAAGACCCTAAAGCGCATATCCCCTAAGGGCCAACAGCAGTAAGACCCCAAGTCCCTGAGACCGTAAGACCGAAAGATCCCAAAACCTTGAGGCACGGGGGCCCAAAGACCTTACGAATTCTAGACGCTTCGCCTAACCCCACCAGCCCATCCAGAAACGATGCCCAGAGGAATTGCCTCGACCAGGGAAGTGGGCAGCACACAGAGGAAGGGTCCCCCAGTGGAGGCCTCTTGGAGCGTCTTGGGGGCCTCTTGGCGGTCCCGGACGCCTCTTAGAGCGTCTTGGGTGCCTCGGAGAGCTTCTTGGGGCCTCTTGGGGGTCTTTTGGGAGCCTCTGGGAGGCCTCTTGGGCGCCTGTTGGGGCCTCCTGGGGCCTCCTGGGCGCCTCTTGGGGTCCTCTTGAAGCGCTCTCGGGAGCCCTGGGGGCGCTCTTGGAGCCCTCTTGCCATCTTGGAGCCATCTTGAGGCTTCGGATGGCCATCGGAAGCGAACACGCAAAAAAAGCCAAAAACATTGATTTTCCCAAGGTTTTGGAAGGATGTTGGCCTCTTCGGGGCCTCATGGGGGAGCTCTTTGGTCACTTGGAGCCGTCTTGGAGCGGTCTTGGGGCCTCTTGGAGCATCATGGGAGCCGTCCTTCGGCATCTTGGGATATCTTGAGCCATCTTGGAGGTCATTTTGGGCTCTCCTGGGCGCTCTTGGAGTCATCTTAAGCAGTGCCCCCTCCCAGGAGGCCAACATGTGGCCAAAATCTTTGTAAAGTCAATGATTGGGGCATTGTCGCCGAGGCCTCTTGGAGCGTCTTGGGTGCCTCTGGGGGGCCTCTTGGGGCCTCTTGAGGGTCTCTTGGGAGCCTCTTGGGGGTATCGTGGGGGCCTCTTGGGGGCCTCTTGGGGCCTCCTGGCCACCTCTTAGTGGTGGCTTTCTGCATCCAAGAGGCCGTTTCTGGGGTGCTCAGACGCTCCTGGCAACCGCTAGCATTGATCTAGCGTGGACTTGGGCCGCGCTCTTGGCAGGAGGGCCCCCTGGCCACCTCTTGGCCCTCTTGGGGCACCCTTGGGAGCCTTGGGAGCGCTCTTGGGGCCATCTCGGAGGAGATTGATCAAAGAAGGGGGGTCCCTCAATTAGCGTTGTCCCCCCAAGAGGCCAAGATGGGGCCAAAATCGTATTAAAATCAATGATTTGGGCTTCCTCGCCGAGGCCGTTTTGGACGCCCCGACGACGCGCGGAACGCCCCGTCCAGGCCCAGGGAAGAGGCCCAGGGGAGGGGGGAGGGGGAGCGGTAAACTTCTCTCCGAAGGGGAAGAAGGGGGTGGAAGAGGAAACACCCTAAACCACGTACGCCCTAAAGGGCTGGTGGGATTTTAGACTGCGAAGACGCAAGGCCTAGGACTCCTCAGACGAGTCAAGCTGGGCCCCCTCAGCAGGAGGGGAGTCGCTGAACCGGGCCCCAGCCCAACTCGAACCCAGGCGAACCGGAGCCGAGGGAGGCGGAGAGAGCTGGGCACCGCAGAGCCCAGCACTGCCCCCGAGTGGCGAGCCCCCCGCCGAGCCCAGCGCCCAGGGCCAGGCAGCTCCGGGGCGGCCCGACCCAGCTCACCGCTGAGCCGCCCGCACAGCCAGCCCCGCTCGGCCGCGCTGGGTCCGAGCGAATCCCGGGCCCAGCGCCGCCAGGGCCCAGTTCAGCGTCCGTCGGGGGCGGCCAAGAAAGGGGTGATGACAAGGGGGGGGGGGGTATCATGGCGTGGGCCATGATGTTTTCCTCAGACTTCATGGCGCCTCCTCTTGCTTCAACACGTCCCTGGCCCCCCCCTGGGCCGCGCACATGCCGCCGGCCATGATATGCGCCCCCCCTCTTGGACGCCCCCCTCTTGGCCGCCCCCGAGTCCGCGGAGGCAGGCACGCTCCGCTGCCCCGGGCCCGAGCTCACGCAAGGCCGAGCTCCTCCGGAGCCCAACTGCGCCTGGGCGGCGTCCGGAGCCCAGCTGCGCCAGGGCAGCGCCCGCGGGCGCCCCCGGCCCGAGTGCACTCCCCAAGGTCTTGGCGTCGCGATTGTTCTGAGCCGGGCGTTTTCGCCCAGTTTCGGGCCCCGGGATCGTCGCAGATCGATCCGGTTCGAAGAATATAGCGCGGGAAGATGCGGTCCAGGGCTCCAGTCCCGATGCTCTACGACGTTTCAACTGTTTCGCGCCGTCGGATCTCAGGGTTTGGGGCCGAATTCAGCCAGGGCCCATTTCAGCCCCAGCGCGCCTGCATGCGACGGCAACGTTGCGCCAGCTGAACGCGGCCCCCTCGAGGGGCCGCCCGAACGGCGAGGGAAACCCCCAGGTCGCGAGTGGGCCGTGCGCGAGATCCGCCGCATCCAGGAGAGGCTGAGCTGGGCCCCCACCGAAGTCGAACCCAGGTGAGAGCGGCGGGCCCGAGGGACGCGGAGGTGGGCGCTGGTCGGCCGCCCCAGGCGATCGCGTTCAGCCAGGGCCCAGTTCAGCGGGGGGCCCAGATCACCCAGGGCCCAGTTCATCGGGGCTCAGCTCAAGCAGCTCCTCCTCCTCCTCCTCCTCCTCCTCCTCTCCTCCTCCTCCTCCTCCTCCCCTCCTCCCCCTCCTCCTCCTCCTCCTCCTCCTCCTCCTCCTCCTCCTCCCTCCTCCTCCTCCTCCTCCTCCTCCCTCCTCCTCCTCCTCCCTCCAACTCCAACTCCAACTCCACTCCCTCCAACTCCTCCTCCTCCTCCTCCTCCTCCTCCTCTCCTCCTCCTCCTCCTCCTCCTCCTCCTCCTCCCTCCTCCCTCCTCCTCCTCCTCCTCCTCTCCTCCTCCTCCTCCTCCTCCTCCTCCTCCTCCTCCTCCTCCTCCTCCTCCTCCTCCCTCCTCCTCCTCGTCCTCCTCCTCCTCCTCCTCCTCCTCCTCCTCCTCCTCCTCCTCCTCCTCCTCCTCCCTCCTCCTCCTCCTCCTCCTCCCTCCTCCTCCCTCCTCCTCCTCCTCCTCCTCCTCCTCCTCCTCCTCCTCCTCTCCTCCTCCTCCTCCTCCTCCTCCTCCTCCTCCTCCTCCTCCTCCTCCTCCTCCTCCTCCTCCTCCTCCTCCTCCTCCTCCTCCTCCTCCTCCTCCTCCTCCTCCTCCTCCTCCTCCTCCTCCTCCTCCTCCTCTCCCATTCCATGAGGCCAGCTCGTTTAGAGCAGCCAGGGCCCAACGGGTTCAGCGGGGCCTAGCTTCCAGGGCCCAGGTCAACGGGCAGAGGGAAGCGCCAGTCGGCTGCCCCCCGGGAGCGAGTTCATCCAGGGCCCAGTTCAGCTTGGGCCCAGATCAACGGGGGCCCAGTTCAGCCAGGGACCAGTTCAGTGGGGGCCAGTTCCCGGGCACCAATTCAACCGGGGCCCACCCAGTTCAGTTGGGGGCCAGTTCAGCCGCTTCCCTTGGGCCCCTCTTGGGGCCTTCCTGGGCCGTCTTCGCGGCCGTCTTGGGGCTCTCGTGGGGCTCTATTGGGCCGTATTGGGAGCCTCATGGACCGCCTTGGAACGATCTTGGGGGCTCGCTGGGCTGTAGTGGGCACTGCCAAGAAAAGGCGCACATGTCGAAGATGTACGCCTTCCCTGGTTGAGAATGGAACGAAGTTCGCCTCTTCGGGCCCTCCTGGCGGCCCTCAGGGAGCAACCTTGGGCTCAGCTGCCTTGAAACGCCAGTTTTGAAACGCAACACGTACCGTGTTCAAAACGTCCGTGCTGATACACTGTGTGGTGGCTCAACGTGTTGGCTTGCGTTTTCGCGAACGGATCAAGCCAAACGTCCATTTTCAATCTCCGCGTTGCGCCCCGTGTTAACACGCTTCGGGTTGCGTGCTGTGTATCGGAGCGGCTAAGCCCCTGGGCCGTCTTGGGGGCCTCGAGGGCCTTCTCGAAGCCATCTCGGCGCTGGGACCGTCGCGCGGGGTTACCCCGGGCCGCCTCGCCGCTCTCAGATGGACTGTCGCGACGCCCATGGGGCCGTCTCGGGGCTCCTTGGAGGCTCTGGAGCGGCCCCAGCTCCTCCTCGTCCTCCTCCTCCTCCTCCTCCTCCTCCTCCTCCTCCTCCTCCTCACGAGCAGCTGCTGCGATGCCTGTGCGCGGTCTACCGTGGACCCAGGCGGGCCCGCTGGCTTGGCGCGACCTCGCGCCTGGTTGTCCCCAACGGCACGGTGATCGCGGGTTGCAGCTGCGCGACTGGCACCGTGAAGCTCATGACCCTGTGCGTTTTACGGACTATTGCCATTGAGACGCCTGTTTGCCGGCCGCTGAACTTGGTGGACGACTTGAAGGTGCATGCTGTGGGTTCTCTCCGCATTGTGGCTCGGCAATTGGTCAAAGCAGCCACGATTGTAGCCACTCAGATGAATGAGCTCGACCTTCCGCTCAACTTGGAGAAGACCTGCTTCCTGTGTTCGAGTCCTGAGTTGCTCGAGGCTCTGCTGGACGACCCCGACTGGCCGTTCGACGAGTCCTTCCTGGCCACCACCCACCGTGACCTGGGTGGCGACGCTTCTGACGGCAAGGCTCGCCGCGTGCCTGTGCAAAACAAGCGCCTCCTCGAATCGTCGGCCGCTGCGACTCGGCTCTCGAAGATTGGGCGGGGGAGGGAGGTTTCTCGGGTGCACAGAGCGGGCCCAGTCGCTAAGGCCACGTGGGGGGCGCACATTAATGGTCTTGGGAATTCGGCTTTGAGGACTCTGAGGGTGGCCTCTGCCAGGTCTTTGGGCCCCCTCCAGCCTGGATCCTCCCTCGGCCTCACCTTCCTTCTTTGCGGGGCCCCCCAGCGGGATCCTTTTGTTTCGACGACGGTGGACGCCGTCAAGTCATTTGTTTCTGTCTGGTGGCACCGCAGTGTCACGAAGCAGGTCCTCCTCTCTGCGTTTGACGATGCACTCGTGTCTGCGAGGAAACCTAGACCCTGGGGCTCCGCCAAGCAACCTCTTGCCGCTCTTGTGTTAACGCTTGCTCGGATTGGTTGGAGGTTGGATGTCCCAAACGAGGTCCTGATTGACCAGGCGGGTCGCTCCTGGAGTTTGTCTGTGTTTTCCCCGGCCTTCTTCGCCCTTCGCGTGCGCGAGGCGTGCGAGGAAGCGATTGCATTGGAAGAGCAGGCTAGGCAGAGTGATTTTGGAGCCGAATGGCGCGGCCCCATCTGTCTCAAGCCGGCTCTGGATCTGATCTCGAAGCAAGGCTCAGCTTGGTCTGATCATTGTCGTCACTGCTTGCGCAGCCTTGTTACCAACAGGTATTGGTGCCAGCAGCGGTTTCATGACGCCTGTCAGGACATACCCCCTGCCTGCCTGGCCTGCCAGGCCCCATCAGGTACCATGTTTCATCGTCGATTTGATTGCCCCGCCCACGATGCGTGGCGACGGGATGTTTTGAGCCCCGACCTGCGCCGGGCAGCGGGTAGAGTGCGCCTTCTTTCGTCTAGGGCCCAGGAGTTGTTCGCCAGGTGTGTGCTCCCAGACCCCACTTGCTGGTTCTCGCGCCCCTCCGAACCCCCTGAGGCCACGGTCCATAGGCACAATTGGCCTGCCGACGGGCTGGTGCTCGGGGAAGGGGCCCATGTGTTCTTGGACGGCTCGTGTTTCGAGCCTGCCCTCCCTAGGATTCGATCGGCGGGATGGGCGGTGATCGTTACGGACGGGTGGGGGAAAGTTGCTCGTGCGATTTGGGGGCGCGTGCCCGTGTGTGAAGCTCCAGCCCAGGTCGCCCGTGACGGTGAGGACTATGCAGTGGTCTCTCACGTTCGCCATGCTACTGTGTTCCCTGGGGCCAACTTGTATGGGGACTGTGCCGGAACTCTCGGGTATGTTTCGGACCCCGCGGGAGCTGTTTGTCCCGATAATGTTCGGGCGCATATGTGGCAGCATGTGTTTGATAAGCTCGACGGAGTGCGGTGGCGTAAAGTTCCTGCCCATTGCACCCTTCGTGATGTCGAGAACGGTAAGCTCAGCCGTCTCGAGTATCTCGGCAATACCGGCTGCCGATGAATATGCCAAGCGAGGCGCCTCATTGGGTCGAATCTCTGCCGCTGATCGTGCCGTCGTCGATGGTTGCTTTGAGTTGTCCCGGCTGTTGTGCAAGTTCTCAGCTGAGCAAGAAGCTCGGATCGGGGACAGTGGGCAGTTCGACCATGTCGGCATCGATTGGCTGAGGCACATCACCCTTGAGGTCCCTCCTCTCCCTGATGATCCTCCTCCTCCTTCCGAGCCTTCTCTTCCTGGCCGTTTTGATTGTGGCTCCGTACGGCGGCCTCCTATTGGGAGTGGCGGGACGGGTCGGGAGTCGGGAGGGGTGGGCGACGACGGTGAGGAGGGCAGGGCCGAGTGGCCCGACCTCCATGTCTGGCCGGCCCGCGCCCACGACATCATAGAGTGTGGGGTCACTGACCCCGCTGGGGCGGCCGTTGGCTCCCTGGCCTTCTGCACCCGTTGCGGTTCAGTCTGCACCGTCGGAGGGCACGGTGGCAAGACTGCTCTCGCGTCGGATTGTCTGGGCCATCGTTCCCAGGGTCGTGAGAGGCAGTTGGCTTGGATTTTGCAGGGCCGCCATCCTTCGAAGAAAGATTTTCGGGTCTCGCGAGCGACCGTGTTATCGGACCCAGCTCGAGACTACCTCGCCGCCAAGATGGGTCTGGACGACCTCCCGTTGCTCGCGCCACCTCGGTCCAGAGGCTCTCTGGCTTCTTCGTCGGGCGGGATTGGGAGGGTTTGGGCTGGGACTGGGGTCGACCTTCAGCGAGGCCTTTCACTTTACGGGTTCAGCTCTCGGGAAGAGGCTGAATCGCTCGGCGCTCGAGCGCAAGAGCGCCGACGGCAGGTTGTGCCGCCCGAGGAGGACTTGGACCCTCCCTAACTCGTTTGGAGTTTGTTTGATGCATGTTTAATGTGGTGGCACCTTTCTAGCCGTTGCCGAGCTCCTCCTCCTCCTCCTCCCTCCTCCTCCCCCTCCTCCTCCTCCTCCTCCTCCTTCCTCCTCCTCCTCCTCCTCCTCCTCCGCCTCCTCCTCCTCCTCCCTCCTCCTCCTCCTCCTCCTCCTCCTCCTCCCCCTCCTCCAGGCTCGTGCCCCCGCCCCCCTCCCGCTTCCCCCCCCCCCCCCAGGCCTTCCACCCATCTGGGGCGTTCCAGAAAGGGCCTCGCCTTTGAGGATCGAAGGAGCTGCCATCTCTTCCTCGGCGGAAGGCGGCGGAAGTAAAACGAGGACGGCTCCGCTGGCGGAAGCCGGCGGAAGTCAAAAGTTGCCTGCCAATGGGGTGTTGCTAGAAGTGCCCCCACGGCCTCCAGAGCACCCCTCACGCGGCCCGGAGGGCACCAGGGGCTCCAAAGTTGAGCGAAAAATTGGGGGCACCTTGGGCCAGGGGCACCCTTTAGCAACCCCCGATCCAAGAGGTGACAACATGTTTCGTTTGAGGGTTTCCTGAACCCGCCATCTGAAGCGATGTTTTGCCTCAGAGGGGGAAGAGGGGGAGGGGGCAGCCCCAATCATCT